AAGTAGGAGTGCAATGATATTGCCATCCAAGAATTTCTGAACGTAAACACACTGATCTGCAGCAGTCCTCTTGTAGCCTTAACCCACCATGAATGAGTCAAATTTCTTATACCACTGTTTGGGCGCTTGTTTGAGGCCTTACAGACTATTCTTCAACTTGCAGACTAGATTTTCCTTTCTTGGAACCTCGAAACCTTGTGGTTATTCCATATATATTTCTTCATTTAGATCTCCATGAAGAAATGCAGTTTTCACATCCATTTGTTCAAGCTCCAAGTTTAAACTGGCTACTAGTCCAAGAATGACTCAAATTGAGGTCATCTTAACAACTAGTGAGAAAATCTTGTCAAAGTCAATTCCTTTCTTCTGTTGGAATCCTTTAACAACTAATCGAGCCTTATACTTTACCAATTTTCCACTACCATCTTTCTTCAACTTGAACACCCATTTATTCCTCAATGCTTTCTTGCCTTTTGGAAGTTTTACAAGCTCATAGGTTTGATTTTTCTGCAGGGAATCCATCTCATCCTCCATGACTTGCATCCACTTGTCTTTATTCGTATGAGCTTGTGCCTCCTAGAAACTCTCCGGCTCCCCCTCATCAGTAAGTAGAATATAGTCTGACTCCGGATATCTACTCGATGTAATGCGTCCTCTTTCAAATCTTCATGATTGAGGCTCATCAGCTATATGAGATACACCATTCTCTGGTTACTGTGATGGTCCTGCAACATCTGGTGGAGGGGTTGTTGCTCCCCCTACTCAACACTTTCATCAGCATCTTACTCTATTTTTGTAGTTTCATCCTGCACTACATCATTATCTGTGGCAAACTGTGATGGTGCAGGGTCTGGAACAATGTCTTGTGCACTGGAACTACAACGGCTAGACTTTCTGGAATTTTCAAAGTCCTTATACGCCTAGCTTTCATGGAACACCACGTCTTTGCTCCTGATGATCCTTTTGGCCTCTGGGTCCCACAATCTGTATCCAAATTCTTCATCTCCGTAGCCTATAAAGATGCACGAAGTGGTCTTGACATCAAGTTTCTGCCTTTGCTCTTTGGATACATGTGCAAATGCTTTGCACCCAAAAATTCTTAAGTGAGAATAGGAGGGATTCCTACTAGACCACACCTTTTCCGGAATATCAAAATTCAATGGTACTGACGGTGATTTGTTTATTAGATAATAGGCGGCACTAACAGCTTTGCCATACTGAGCATGCATCAGACTCTTTCCACAATCTTCTCCACTACTCCATTGTGATGTGGGGTACGTGGAACAGTTTTCTCATGACTCATACCATAATTTCCATAGTATGCTTCAAACTCTGTGGAAGTATATTCACCTTCATTGTCTATTCGGAGACACTTTAGCTTCGTTCTTGTTTCTCGCTCAACCATGGCATGGAATCTTTTAAAGCATTCGAGTACTTGGTCCTTTGTCTTTAGGAAGTACACTCATACCTTCCGTGAAGCATCATCAATAAAGGTCAAAAAATATCTGTTGCATCCCAATAATTCCACCTCTAGGGGACCGTAAACATCAGAGTGTACCAGACTTAACAACTCTGATCTCCTCTTCATAGAGGAACTGAACGAGACTCAATGTTGTTTACCAAACAAGCAATGATTACAAGGATTTAGTGCAACATCCTTGGCAATTGTGATAAGATCCTTCTTTGCCAAAGTAAACAATCCTTTTTCCCTTATGGGACCGAGTGTCTGGTGCCACAGATTTGGTGAAGCCTCATTTTCAACTGGGTCAACCTTCACATGGGTCTTGTAAAGCATGCCACAAATATGTCCTTGGGTGACAACCATGACACCTTTCGTGAGCTTCCATGTGTCTTTGCTGAAATGGTTATCGTAGCTCTGCCTGTCAAAGGTTATCCCAGAAGGTAGATTTAGCCAAAGGTTGGGCACGTGTCGGACATCCTTCAATACCAATGTACAACTAACATTTATTTTTATCTAAATATCACCAATTCCCATAATCTTGGAAGAACTGGTGTTTTCCATCCTCACTGTACCAAAGTCTCCGGCTTTGTACGTCGAGAAGAAATCGTTGTGAGAAGTAGCATGGTATGAAGCTGCAGTATCTACCACCCACTCAGCGTCATGGTTGGAAAAATGAAAGTGTGTCTCTTCATTGACAGAAAGAATGGCCACGTCCTCTGAGAGAGTGACTAGCGTCTCTTCATCCTGTTTTCTCAGCTGATTACTGTCTTGGCCTTGCCTCGTAGCAACTTGCGACAGTTTTTCTTCATGTGGCCTTGCATGCCACAATGGTAACACTTGTATGGAGGTCTTCCTCCGTCATTTGATCTCCCTGGATCTTGTGACTTTCCTCCCCTCTTACTCCTTCCTCTTCCCCTACCTCTGCTACCTCCTTGCTGTCTGTCTCTGCCCTCAGTGACGAGGGCATTTAACTGGGTAATGCCAACATTCTTTCTCCTGGCCTCCTCATTCAACAAGGCATCCTTAATCGTTGACATGGTAAGTTTTCCTCCTGGAGATGAATTGCTGAGAGAGACTACCAACGTCTCCCAATTGTCTGGTTGAGAACTGAGAAGCAAGAGAGCTTGTACTTCATCCCCCAGATTCAACTCTATCGATGATAATTGATTTACCAAATTCTGGAACTCACTAGTGTGCTCAGCAATTGAAGTTCCACTTTTTAACTTCAAATTCACAAACCGCCTCATCAAAAGGGCTTTTTTCCAAGCAGTCTTGGCCTGGTACATGTCTTCTAGCTTCTTCTAGAGGACATGTGCATCAGTCTCTTGTGCAACATGGTGGAATACACTATGGTCAATCCATTGCCTGATTTGACCGATAATTTTTCTGTTCAGTTTCTTCCACTCCGTTTCTTTTGTTGGATCTAGATTTACACCTTCTGCCTCCAAGAGATCGTACAAGTCTTTACAACTTAGAATATCTTTCATCCGAGGTCTCTAAAGTGTATAATTAGAGGCAGTGAGTTTGATCATGGCTCCCGATGTTGATTCCTCCGTGGACATTTTGATTTTTTAGGCTCTAAATGTCTCGATCAAAAAATTTTGGGATTGAATTTTGTAAAACGGAGTGCACCGTTGCATCCGGAACGGTTGAAATAGCTGGGAAAGAGTCTTGGTTCACCAAAAACGAAGCTAAAATGAGTTCAAAATTGATTCAAAAATTTTTTGATAACTTAACAGAATATTCCGTTAAACTTGACGGAATATGTTGAAGGTGACAGAATATTCCCTGGATTAAATATTCTTTAAGAATATTCTCTGGATAGAATATGCTTTGGATGAAATATGCTCTCGGAATATTCATTAACTGAGATGGAATATTCTTTGATGGAGTGGAATATTTGGTCGTCTTCAACCTTGCTTCGGTCACCGGTCTGGCAAAAATTTCCGGCGAACATCCGGCAGCAACTCCGACGAGCTCCAGTGAGCTCCAACATTAACTCTGCGCAGCCGGTGAACTTTTTGGCAAACTTCCGACGAGGACCGTGAAAGAGCGTACGATGTCAGATTGATGCAAGGCCAATGGGGTTCGACTCGTTTCGACAAGGGAATCCAATGGTGCACTCAAAATTTGATTTCAAGTTTGTTTAGAACCCGTACGAACCAAAAATAATGAGTTGGAAAAATTTTCCGGTGACCTAACCAAAGATCTAAAACCATTTGTTGGTTACCCAGGGCCAGAAAAATACCACAAACAAGATATAAACAAAGAGACTATCTCTAATTCACTTTGGAAATAAAATACAAGAATTTATACAAAAAATTCTCACTGAGATCTCTCCTGAATCTCTCTCTCTGTTTCTTTCTCACTGATCTTGAGCATAGAAAGGAATTTTTGGCCAAAAAATCAAGAAAGGAAAGGAACACATTAAAGCTCCGGCAAGCTGTGTCAAAGCTTCAGCTATCCAACTGCCTGACCATCAAATAGGGTGGCTACTAGAGTGGGCTACAGACTGATGGAGCTGGAACTTGTTGGCTATTGCATAGCATGGCTGGATCCTTCAGGTAGGTCACAAAGTGTGCGAAGATTCCGTGCATTTTATCAAAGAAAGGTTGGGTGCTATTCAGCCTACTACATACTAGTTTTACATAAAGTCAAGAGGATTTGCTAAACAATGATTTGGTTGCTTGAAGGATCTAAGAATTTCATTCCAAGGCGATCTTTCAATTTTTAAAGAAAAGTAAGGGGTATAAGCCTATATATTTTGACCAAAAAAAAAACATAAAAATTATAGCGACTAATAGTTACAATTTTTCAAACTTTTATCTCTTTCACCCCCTAAATCCATCGAATTGTTTGCTACAAGTAGGTACATTCATCTTGTTCAATGATGTAATAAATTGAAACATATAACTAGGGGATTAGGGAGTAAATTCCTGTCATATGCAAGTATATTGGTCTTTTATATGTTACTCTATTATGCTCTGTTTAGTAGGAAAAATGAAAAAATGAGAGAGATAGACTTTCTATCATTTAAGGAAGGAAAATAAGAATAATATATTTTTCTTTCTTTCTGTTTGGTAGGATGAATGAAAAATAAAATAATCAATTTTTTTGTACTTGGTAATATGAAAAAAATATTTTTTTTTAAATTTTAAATTTTAAATTTATTTTTTAAAAAAACATAAATATATATTTTATTATTGTATTTATATATGAAATTAATGTATACATAACATATTTATATATCAAAGGATATATAGACAAATAAGATACATTTAAACACAAATAATTAACTTTCCGTCAATTTTCCTTCCAATTTTTGAGGAAGTGATTTTGGTGAGTTGGAAGGAAAGCTCATTCATCCACTTTTTCATCCTTCCTATTTTCTTTATTTTTCAAACATGATGTTTTATCTATCCCTCTAACTTTTCATCCTTTCAACTTTTCGTCATTCCATTTTTTCATCGTACCAAAATGAGCATTAGAGTATCATATTCTACTCTTTTTTGTCTCTCTTCTTGGGAGTTCTATTATGCTCTTCTTTTGAATTTATAATTCATTTCAATTTATTGTAATAATGGCATATGAGAGTTTATTTCATATAAAAAAAACAATAATACTTTGGTGACCAAATTTATACACCAAACTTTTGTACCAAATGAAGTGGCAACATCACATTCATTGAATTTGTTTTGGGTGTCAATGGAACCCACCAATCTAACAACCCACATCATTTGGTGTAAGAATTTGATCACCATAACAATACTGAAACAAAAGACAAAAATAGGTACCACCATATCCATAAAAAATAGTCCTAAAACTCCAAAAAAAAGTAAAAAAAAAAGCCTACATCACCCAAAACCAACTTTTCAATACTATATAGAACAAATTACAACCCGATGGGGTCCAAAATTTCGGGATTAGTTCTTCAAATTTGGGATCGATCCCAACTTTTCTGCATCGATCATAATTTGATCCCGTCGAGTCGTAAAATAGTTTATTTGTATTATAAGCTTCAATATCATAACGAAAAATTATTTTTCGGTGCGGTAGAAAATCCTTAGTTCCTATAGTATGAGGCAATGGGATCAAAAACCATGTGGTTGTCTCATTGACTACCAAACAAAAAGCTTCAAGCCCATTTGGCCAAGAGAGACATCAAGCCAGCACCAAAGAGGAGGGAAACATTAGCATGTAACTGAAGCTTTTCATTGTTCTGCATTCTTGGGTTCATAAAATCAGCTGAGAGAAGATCCACAAGTGCCATATAGATCAATATCCCTGCTGATGCTGCGTTTAAAACCCCCTCAACGATCAAAGCATTTGGGCTATTCTCCTTGTAAATGTTTGTTATTCCGATGCCTATTACGATACCAATCGGGGTTGTCAGAGAGAAGAACACCGCCATTATCACAACGGCCCGAGATTTGAATTTTGCCTAGAGAAGTCCAAAAGAAAACAAAACATATTTACTAGCTTGATGTGTTAATTTTGACTTTGAATCACAAGCTTTTCATTGTTAGACTAAGATCTCTTCCAATCTATGTTCTTTCTATTTTTCTTCCTATTGAGAATTTTTGTGGGACCTATTATACCCAAGAAGGTTGTGATCTCGGCTATCCATGGTCCATCCTCAAAAATTTCATCCACATAAAAAAAAAAACAATGTAACATTAATTTAATTTGATGAGCCACCAAAGGATCATATCCATATTAAGTCTATTCAGTGCTACTCGTGAAAAAATAAAAAACTATATTACAAGACTTAGGTAAGATGTGAGTAACCCCAAAAATTAATTAAGCTAAAATGATGTTGTAAACATTTCCAATGGATGTCAATTTAAAAGTTTATGGTGTAATTCAAAAGCTGAAAACCAAGTCTAGGGCCTATAGGCTATAACTTTAGACAAAAAAAAAATGAAAGTTAAATTGAGTAGTGGTGTTGATACCTGAGCTATGCATCCACCAAGTCCCATGCCCTCAAAAAATTGATGAAATGTCAAGGCAGCCACAAGAGGCCTTATCGTTTTCGGAGTTTGAGAAGCACCCAAGGAAATTCCAATAATTACAGAGTGGACTATAATCCCCAATTCCAAAACCTACAATATAACACCAATCATCGGTCACAATATATATATCATTACTAATATACATATTCAAGTAATAAGTGTTGACATGCAACAAAGAAACTATTCAAATTATAATTTTTCAAAAATTTAAACTGCTCTCATTCCAACTCGTTCCTAAACCACTAAAATATTTGACTATTCAAGTCAACTTCGTGATTTGAGAGAGAGAAAAACTTCATTGCATTCCCTTTGTTTGGCCTCGAAATTGAAACAAAAATAAATAAACATAATTTTTTCATTTATCTTCGATTACTTAAACATAAATAAATAAACCCTCATGTTATTTTTGACCAAAGTATTACAACACACTCCTCCCCTTGTGGAACCTCCACCCTTTATTAAGCGTTCTCCTCCCCTGGTCAACTTACATTGGGTGCTATAGAACCAAATCACCAGAAGATAATATGGAAAATAGTTTAAATGTGAAAAAAAAAGAGAAAAAAAAAAAGCAAACAGATCATAAAAAATAAATAGTAAAAAGCACCTGTGATATAACACGATGACGAAGTAGTTCAGATGAATCCGAATCCCCTTCAGAGAGAATCGATCCATGGGCATGACCATGTGTGGCATACGCGTGGACATGACCATGACCGTCATCATGCCCATCAACTACCATCTCTTCATCGGGCCTTGCTTTGTTCAAGTGTGATTTTTTGTAGTAAGAAGTAGCATAGGTATCAACCATAAGAGTACCCATTGCCGATACCATGGCCACGAACCCTGTAAACGGAAAGTTCTGCCATGGATTCGCATTCAAACACGGCGATGTCAAGTGATCAAAAGCATCAGGAAGCACGTGTATAAACCCAGTTGCTAGAATGACACCCGCTGCAAAAGCCTTGATGACGAAAAATAAATCACTATCGGGACTTAAACTCGGTATGGTCTTGCTCAATACTGGAAGACACACACCGATTGCACCGGCTACGAGGATTGTGGCTATGGCGATCAGTTTGTACATACGTGCTTTACTTTTGTTATGACCTCCTTCTTCAGCATCACATGTACACTCACCGGAAACTATGGTGGGAAGGAGTATGAGAAAGGCCAAAAATAGTGACTTTTGAACTCCTGAATGTAAGTAGGGCTGATCAAGAAGCTTGTTCATGTTGATGGATAAGATTGAAGAGAGAGAAAAAGGTTTACTAGGTAAAATGGTATAAAGATCAGTTTAAGGCCTGAAATGCAGGGAAGGAACAGATAGTTCGTTATATAGAGGAAGTATTGTGAGAAACTACGGCTACTTGTCGCACCTCCAAAGCACATAAAACTTTTGGGACCATTCCATACCGACAAAAAAAAAAAAGTTTGGGGACCACCGAATTCAGTTTTGTTTGCTTAAAAATATATTTAGTGTGATCGAATTTTATGACCAACAGAATATAGTGTTAAAATGACTTCTTTTAAATTTCTTATGAAAAATTTCAGTCACATCCATTTTAGTTTACTATATCTTCAAAGACATCCTATTTATTATTAAAAATATTATTGACATCCATTGTAGTTTATATTTAAACATCATTAACACTCCATGCTATTAAAACAGTATTTTTAATAAAAAAATTTATCCAAAATATAAAAAATGCCCCTAAATAAACCCCAAATAATCTTTCTATATAAAATTCGATTAAAATTTGAGATGATTAAAATTTATTTTTTTATATATTAAAATTTGAGTTGATTAAAATTTATTTTTTTTACATATTAAAATTTGAGCGGATTAAAATTCCATTCAAGCTGATTAAGTTTTATTTTTTTAATTATTAAAATTCGAGCCTATTAAATTTTATTTTATTTTATGTATTAAAATTCGAACCGATTTAAACTTTGCTTGAGTTTTTTGCGCCGATTAAATTGCCTTGAGTCGATTAATATTTATATTTTTTACCTATTAAATTTGATTCATTAAGATTTATATTTTTTTATGTATTAAAATTTGGCTAGATTAAAATTTAGTGCGAGTTGATTAAAATTTTATTTGAGCCGACTAAAAATAAATTTTAATTAGCTCAAATTGTAATACATAAAAAAATTATAATTTTTAATCGACTCGAATTTCAATACGTAAAAAATAAATTTTAATATGTAAAAAAATTTTAAAAACAGAGGAGTTTCATTGAACATATTTTTATCTAAAAGAGATGTCAATGAAGTTTATCATCAAATATATCGTGTGCAATTTAGTAAAATTATGTTTTAGTTAATATTTTTAACTTGACAGCAGATGTCAGTTAAGATTCAAAAAATAAAAAAATATTTTGAAAATATAATAAATTAGAGAGAGGGTGATTGAAATTTTTCCAATATCTTACGTTGATAATATTCACCGCTTCAACGGCCAGGTAAGTATGAGGACACTGTGACGACATCTCAGAATTCCGCGGGCTAATCAATGTTGATAATAGTTGTCAAGTTCCATTGCATAACTGAATATTGAAAACAATAATCATGTAATTCACTATAAATGTTAGATTGTTAGTGAATCTTTTTTAACAATGAAAATTATTATTATTGATAAAATAATTATTGGGTCAATGAATTAAGTGTAAATAATATCATTTTACCAAAAATAACTAACATATCTTGTACAATACTTGGCTTATTCCCAAGAATTTATGCTTTCCTCCTATAATACATTCACCAAATAAGTATCAAAAAATAAAATCCAAATAGCAACCAAAAAAAAAATGATAGTGTGACTATTATAATAAATTTAATCATTTTATAAGAAAGAAATTTAAGTTCTTGCCAAGGAAAATAATGAGAGAATCACACCAACTAAATATTAGATTCATTGACGTAGAAAATTGGGCTTAGAAGTTTGGAAAAACATGTCGACATAATGGTACCATTGAGAGAGGAATTTTTGATAAGCAGTTGTAATAGAAGTCAACTAAAAGTGGCATCCGACGTAGATAGGCTCTCCTTGAACCATCCTAGATCTTTTCAATCAACTCTAAGATTAAACAGAAAAATAAAAAATGTGAAAATTTAAACAGCATCATACAATACTAGGGTAATTCTACTTATCCAAAAAAATATAAAAAATGGGTAATATATCTAAAATTATTATTTTTTAAAGTTTAAGTAACATATTTTAAATGTGAAGTTATTACTGTTTGTGGTAAATTTATGATTAATCATAAATACCTCCTAATCAATTGTAACTTCATTTTTAAAAGGTGTAAATTGATTTTTAAATGTTATAATTTTACCTTCAGAAGGCTTAACGTCTATGATCGATAATCATATTTTGGAATCGATCATGATATTTTTAGTTATAACTTTTACCTTAAAAGCTTACAAATTTAGGTACGGTATCGACTTAAAATTCCATAGTTTTTTCCTCTAAATACAAATCAAGAAACGATATTCCAATAGATGCATTTTTACCATTCTAAGATTTAAAGAGAATCAAACAAACGTAACCCAGTCGTGAAGCACGTTGGGTTTCAGAGCAGTTGTCCCCTCTCCTTTGGATTATCTTTGATGAGGACATATATTGCTATTTAATGTACTGCATTACCCCCTAAATTTTTGTTAATAATTTTCATAATGATTCTAGTCTCTCTTTTTTTCAGTAAATTAGTGATTCATTAGCCCCTAAAATAAATATTTTATTTTTAGATTGAGTAAACAAAAGATTAATGTTTTGATGAAAATACAATATTTTACTTCTGTCTAACATAAAGTACATATTTTTTAAGAACAACTGTGTAGTTGTCATTTACAATTTTTCAGTAAGTTTGTAGTTTATAACCCAATAAAACATGATTGGATGCACAAAATAATATATTGGAAGTGAAAAGTCGTAATTTATGTTATTTTAAATTGTAAAACTCGGGTAAATTTGAATTTTTATGAAAAATGACAAAACGGTAATTTGTCACTACGGTATGGGTTGAAAACTTGAATTTTTCTATAACATGGATGATGAAACGGACATCACCGTTAGATTCGTCTCGTAAAGTCTAATTATCCAGTCAATTTTCGTCGAATTCCGAGACAGTTGATTTTTTTACGTTTTACGAGACGATCGAGTGTCGTGTAACCTAAAAACAATATATAGAATAAAATTTTGAATTTTGAATTTTGAAAAATAATTTAAAAAAAGTTCATATAAAATATTTTGAACTTGAACCGAGACGAAATTTAATCATTTTAGGATGAAACTAGACCTGGGAATGGAGGAAGTGCGGCGCGACCAGGGCCAAGCATTCCGAGGGATATAAATATGAGAGAAAATCAGATTTTCTCCCAATTCTTTCTACTGGGTTTCGTTGGAAAGAGGAAGAGAGGGAAAAGAGAGAGTTCAAGACTTCTCTCTACAATCTACGAAGTTCCTTTGGTCGAAATCCTTCGGGCCAAGTATTAAAGTTGATCTATGCGACAAGGGCTACACTTATGTACCAAAAATGATGGATTTCACCAAATATTTAAAAATGAAATTTTAGGAAAATCAAACTTTGAGCTTGGGTGGTGTTTTTGAAGGTTTCTATAACTTGTTTTTACGCTTCAAGAGATAAGATTTTCATCCTAACTAGATTTATTTCCAACTTAGGTTTGAAATATGAAATATGTAGGGTGTTATAGATGTAATCTCATGTTTAGCACTTGCCTATTGTTGTTGAAATGTGAAAAATGGATATAGAAATGGGTAAAATCAATTCTAGCTTGAATTGAGTATGTAGAAATTACTTGAGGTGATTTCTTGACTATGTGATATAATTGGGCATTTTATGTGATTACATGATTTGGTACCTTGAAGGTGTTTGATTAAATGCCTATGTTGATTAAGTATGTTAATTACATTGACTATGTTGTAACATACTTGGAAATTGATGTTAAAAATGTTGGTATATGCATATGATATATTGACATTGTGATTGTTTATGGTTATTGAGATGTTCATATTGTGCACATGACATATAGAACATGTTATTGAAATTGGAATGAGATCTTATTTGCATAATAATGAGAATTGCAAATTGTACATATATACATTTGCATAAGTAAGAAAAACATCGAATTCGTGGGCATTACATGAGTGCGGGTGTGTGCATATTGTTAGATCAAACACTATTCTTGGTGGTTGATAAGTGGGCTCGGTACAGTTGGACCAAAGTCCGACAGAGTCACACGGTTGCTTGAAAAACTTGTGTCGAGTATAGCAAGAATGACTAGATATTCTCTCGGATGCAAAATTCAATTACTAGTTTATACACTTCCGCTGGTGAAAGTTCAGAAAAGTGTATTGGTGTGCAGAACCGGGGGTGAGACACCAAAATTCCGCTTCCTAACAAAGACACATGATTTATTTTTAAAAGGTCATTGGATGTGCAACAGTATGACAAGAGCTTGAAATGCCCAATTTCATACTCATGGCATTGCATAGGTGATAGGAGCCGGTAAAGGCTCGGGTTAAGTTGCATGTGTGAGTCTTACCTCATAAAAGGCATGACACAGAGAATCCATTATGAATTGCATATTCTTGAGTAGATTGATTGTTATTTGTTGAAATTGGCATGTGAACATTTCATATGCATATAGGTTGAGGAGTAGGTTCTTTAGGAGATACTCTATTGAGCGTGACTCACCCTTTACATGGAAAACATTTTAGGAACGGGATAAGCACTGGTGGATGGCTCTCAATCGGGCCCTCATGGTTAAACAAAAGCCAATATGTGGATTTTGATTCATGTTTTGTAAAACTAAGATGTTATTTAGTTTTTGGACATGTAATATTATAAAGGATTGTAAAGAGAATTCATATGAACTGTATTTTTGTTTAAAATGATGTTATATGAGTTTGTGTTGGTGTTGTACAAGTTTGAAATGAATTGGAATTGAAAAAGGATGAAAACAGACGAAAACTGGTAAGACCTACCAGTAGAATGATGAGCTCTTCTACCGACAATAATTGAATATGATTTGTTACATATTGGATGTCAAATGGGTCATGTGATTAAAGTGCACACAGATTAAGAGTTTGGGGAGTGCCTGGTACAAGGGAGACTCAGCCCAAACTTTGTGTGTGGTGATCCCGATAAAGGGGATTTTGTGACGTGGTGTCGGGTTATGTGGCATTCACGGGTATTTCCACGGGTTGATGGATGATCAATGGATTAATAAAGAACCTCCAGTTTTAGGGGTGTCACAGCTTGGTATCAGAGCTTAGGTTTACAATTTATCCAAGGCTTGTGGGACA